TATCTGATTATATAAATATAAGTTGATTTGAATCAAAATCAATCCAAATCATTTCTTTATGTTTATATATGCGACATTTGAACGATGGCACATTGCAAACCTGACAACAATTGATCCTATCAGAGTAAGCTTTTTCTGTACGTATTATTTTTATGCAATGAGAAAATGTCTTTTTAGGTGGTATACATTTAGTAATATGAAATATACGAAATGATTCCACAAGTTTAAAAGTTTTTGTCTAATTTAGAATAATTCCACGATTAGCATAAAAAGATGCAAGGTATAATTTTATAAGGATTGAAAATATAACTTTCGAAATTTTTATTGATCAAATATCGCTTAAGAAAGTTTGAAATAGAGCATTGAAAGTTAATTGTTTATTCATAATTTGTTTATTATGAAATTCAAACATTTAGATTTCACATTCGTGGTCAGTGGTCATTGTCGTCAAAATGAAAAATGTTTGTTCTTTGAAGTGAATGTAATTTTTTTCTTCACTTTATCAACATTTCGCTGATTACTTTTACAGTTATTTTTACTTATTTTTTTGATCAAGTAGATAAAAAATATTGCTTCAAAAACTCAAAAAGAAGAACGAAAAATTACTAATGATTTATTCATATTTTATAAAAATTGGACTGCATTTTTTGATGTACTTATAAATTTTTTTACGACCAGATTTAATAAAAAAGTCTTCTTGTTGATTTATCATTTTCCCATTCCTACAGCAAATTCTTTTGCTACCTAAAAATGTAAATCTCAACTCTACAAAATTTAGCAAATATTTTTTTTTGTTGTGCAGAAAAAATTACATTAAGAGTGCGGAATGATTACCAATACTCTCTCCCTTCCTCTCTCTAACTCTCTTTCTCTCTATCTGTCCTCCCTTTTATGAGTAACTTTTTTCATAGCTGAAAATTTATCTGTAGCTAAAATTGGAAAAAATTTTTAAAATTTTTTGATAAATTCAAAAATGCAGGTTGCATTCACTGAAGCTTAATTTCCTGTTTACTAGGAAAAATATTCCATTCACAACTACTATTTTATAAATCATTCTTCAGCTTTTTTTTCTCAAGAGATGATATCTGCAATTTGCTAATAATGAAGTATTGCAAAAATTTCTTGGAATTTTTCCTCCTCTACACGATACGATTAGCATTGGAAAAGATCTTCCTCAATAACTTTTGATATAACTTTTAATAATAACTTTTAATAAGTTATTTTTTGCGCAATCATTCTAAATTAATATTCAGTTGTTTATACAGATTTACGAAATTATTAGCTATTAAATTTGAAAGTAAACAAACTGATAATGTTTAGGAATTGTAAAGATGAATTTTTACAGTGCTGAAAGATGAATAATCATTCAGTAGCATATCCAACCTTTTTTCTATTCTTTTTTTTCCTATTCTGTTTAGGCAAAAAAAAAAAAAAAATGTTAAAGATTAAAATAAGACAGCTTTTTCTGAGTAAACACATTTATTTTGTCATCGATTTCGAAAGACTAAAATATGTTCCATTGTTTGTCAAAGTCAATTCGAATCTTTAATCTCAATCATGGCTACTTCTAATAATGGCATTTTGATGTGCAAACTTTTCCTGCATTACTCGTAGTAATATATTTTTCAATTCATTAGCGCATATTTCCGAATATTCACTTCCTTGTCCAACATTTCAACTTGATGAACTATGGTCAGCTTTCTTATTTCCCAAATTGATTCTTATTTAAAAACGGTTGAAGCAAAGAGCAATATGGATAAATGATTACACTTGTTCTAATCTCTTAGGCCTTCCTTCTGAACAATAAGTATGAAAAAATTAACCTATATAGCAGCGCTATGTAGGTTAATTTCCTACACTGTTCCGGTAATCTTACTATTTACATTCGATTTGAAATCATACTGTACAGGAAAATATCTCTCATATAACAAAATCTTCTTTTCAAAGTAAAAAATGATTTCGAAAGCAAGAAATGTACCGTGAATTTCAAGTTCGATACAATTACTTGTTATGAGATAGTAACATGTCGAATCATTGTTCTTAACAGAATATACATCGTTTACTGAACCCTGGCCTGATTTTTCTTTTTAACAAGTAAATAGATTTAGTAGTTTATTATAAAGGATTTTTCTTTCATTATTTCTGCGTCAGTGAGTCAAAATTTTGAAAAACAAACTCTTTCGAAAATTCGACGAGTTTTCTGGTAAATATTTACATGCTCTGCACTAAGAAGCAAATGACGTAGACTTATCGTCCAAATTTCCACTATTTTTGAGTTATATCCTGTTTCAAAATTTGGCTAATCTTGTATCAACTGCTAGACAAGTAGCATGCCAGAAAAAATCTTTTCCAACTTCTTCATCACGCCAATTAACTTTTGTACAGTGTCCAGTGTACAAAAGCACCATCCACTCATATTTATATTAACAATTATCAATAAAACTTGTTGACTGCATGGAAGGAGATTTATTTAAAACGAGCCTAGAAGATGACCATGCAATAGTTCCAATTAGCCTAAGTGTCTAAAAGCTCAGGTCTCAATGCCAATGATATCTCTTTCAGATAGCCAAGCATGTCATCGATTACCAATTGTTTGTTAGGAGAGCTGGATAACATCTCATCCTAACATATATGGAAGAGATGAAAGCCAGTCCATATATGGACATTCGTTTGAATGGACATCAAAGATTGTAATCATCATTTATCTCTCAAACTACCAAACTATTTCCTGCATGAAGATCATGCAGTTAGTTATCTCCCTTCAGGCAATAATCGACGAATATTGGAAATGGAAATATAAAAATCGACCAGAGTGTCGGCACAGTGCATTGTGTCCATTCAGACTGGTTATCATCGTAACACAGACCCGTGTCGAAGTTACCAAATCCCATTGTTCGAGCGGAACATTCCATTCGTTGCAAAAGTGAGAAGGAGAGGAAGAAAGGGGATTATGTGTGTGTATTTCGTTAAAAGTCATCAATGCGTTAGCTTTGACCTTCGAGATCACAGCTTGCGCACAAACGGTTGCTGCGACGGAAGGATAATTCCTTGTCTATTCCGGAATTCTTTTATTCATCCGAAAGTTAATAACCGATCCCGAATTTCATTTTTCTTTTTTTTTGTCAGAATGATCAAACGATGAGAGTATTCCGAGTGCGCTGGCATGTTGCCAATTGATGTCGCTTGGCAAACTCTGTTTTCTAATGTTTAATCCTTTATGATGACTCTCTCTCTCCCTCTCTCTCTCTCTCATCACTTCCTTTCCTATCCATTTATCTTCTGCCTATCTGTCTGCTTTCCATCCTATCGATGCACTCTTATTTGGGATGCGCTCGAATACTCCTTAGAGAGAAATAAAGAGGAAGAGAAGGAGACATCAATCAGTATTTTCCTCCATGCTCACCTGTGTCCGTCTCGTTCTCTTCGAATTCATCGCTTTCTTCTTCTCTTTCACTTCTCTCTCATCCTGTTTGCATGTACTCTTTCGTTTCTCTCCCATCACTATTCATTACCCGTCTGACTTATTTCATGAACATGCTCGTGTTATTATCGGTCAGTCTCTTCTTTGTCAGTCATGTCAATGAAAGAAAGGGAGAGAGGGAGAAACAGAGGAATCGAGATAGGAATATGGGAGGGGAGAAGGAAGAGTGCCAGAGAAGTATGAAGTTCCGTTGAGTTACTGCTCTGCTGTTGCTGCTGCTGCTGCTGCTGCTGCTGCCGCCGTTGCCGTCATTGCTGCCAAGTGCGGCGATCTTTCCGCTGACGCGACTATCGTTTGTAATCACTTTTATTTGTCTTATCATTCTTGCTGGTAGCATTGTCGACCGCATTGGACAGATGATGTCATTGCAGTCGACAGCGTTACGCTGCATGTTCCGTACGTGCTGCGTGTGGGCACATTTCCAGAATAGCTTTCACATCACTCATACTCTCCTTCGCCGCCACAGATTGCTGGAACATTTTTTCTGAGTGAATGGGTATAGAGAAATTGTAGGGGAGGTGCATATCTCATTTATTACCAAATGAAATCGTTACGTCAATTCATAAGTTGCGTAATAATGGTACAATAATCAATTGTTTAGTGTTTCCGCCAAGCGTTGTCTTATTAGTTCCGTGGATTATTGATAATGCAAAACATAATGTGAAACTTTACGCTTTCAACTCCTAACTAAAAAAGAAACGAGAATTGATAGGATATCCTGATAAGCGTCTAATTTAGTGTTTATTGAAGCTTGAGAGAAATTATTGACAGCGTGTGGGGAGATTTGTTATAAGAGAAAATCATTTCCCGCTGAATACTTATTGGAAAATTTCCGAGCACTAAAAATGGGACGGAGACATAACGTCTCACATTTCTCGACTTCCCAATTGTATGTTTATTTAAAGACATTTGCTGTTTGTCATATCTCGAACTCGAAGTGTTTGTAGAAGCGTGTGAAATGGATCATTTCACAATGGTTCACTCGTAGATGAAATTATCGCCCATCTTTTCTCTTTGCAAAAAACTTACGAATACTCTGTTATTTTCACTCTAGAAAAACAATTCATCACAATCTGTATCACCGATCTAACTTAACGCTGTTAAATATAGTATCAAAATAACAAAGATGATTAAGTCTATTGTAGTATCAAATATCCTTACTAAGAACTGAAAGCATTGCTAGTGTGAATTAGATTACAATAGTTTTTCAGCTCTTTGTTGTAATTCTAAAGATCAAACGGGAATGAATTCTGAATACCATAGGTTACATTTCACTACATGACATATTGAGTTTTATAGTATGCTAATGTTTAACATAGAATGGATATTGGAATTATGACCCAATTTTTCTGCCATAATTTTCCTCTGATTAAATTACTTCTGTTCTTTGAGTTAATCCGGATCTTGTATTCGAGATGGACTTTATTCGATTATATCTCTTTTGTTAATGTGCACTTTCGGATGATTTAATTATGCCAGATTTTAAAAGTTAAAGCAGCAATTTCAGAATATTGCAGAAATGGCTCCAGTTAGTGATGTTGATGAAATCATTGAAACCGAAGTATGTAATCGTTTAATTCGTCTTTCATGTGCTAAGATGGTTAATTCAAAAAGTGAACGGGGTGGTGCAAAGCTGCACCGAAATTTATTAATTCTACATTTGTTGAGGAGAGCTCGTGATGAACAGAAAAGGTTAGCACAATATCACCTGTTTTCATTTGAAATAATCAGTTTTCAAATACTTATTTTTCTCGCAAGAATCCCTAATAATCCTTTCAGGTTCTGTTTAAGAAAATTTTAGGTTTCCGATGTTCGCAAATAACTCCGAATGGATGGAAGAGCCAAGATTAGCAGAGAATTCTATGATGATGTTACATTCAAATCCCATGCCAGCTTTGGATGCTTATTCTCCATCTCATTATGTTGATGTTGATAACGAAGACGAAATGGATGATATTGATTATGAGAATGCGGACGAGGATGCAACTCACCTGCTGGATTTGTCAAAGAAGTAAGCATTTAAGCATTTTGTTTTTTGTCGAGAGCAAAAGATGGGAATTGGAAATGTTGTACTGGTTACATAGGTATTAAGATTCAGGCAGCAGTTCATGTTCTAAAATTTTTGTAGTTTGAAGTATAATGGTGCACAAACAATTTAAATATATTACTATATGGTGGCAGAGATTAAGTAGATAGATTTCTAATCGTTACGGTGAAGGGACATTTTCCAAAGCAGTTATGTGTAATATTTTATAAATGTAAAGGCATCATGAGGAAGAGATGAGCAGCTAAGAACATAGATTGAGGGGTAATGAGGAGTTCTGGCAAGGAGATTGTTTTCGCAAAGGCTTTTCGATTTGAATGATGAGAATAGGTTTAGGTGTAAACAGAAGTTATTCAGGTATACAACGCAAGAGTAATATATAAAATTTTAACGAGATCCAAATACCTTCCTGTTTTTAGAGATCCGTTTTCTTATGCAAGAAAATATGTCTGATTGTCAGCGTGTTTGATGAATGTGCTATATCTTATTCACCTGATGATAATAATAAGGCTTTGAAATACTTATAGTTGAAAAAAGATCGAAACTGTTTTTGGGTTATACTATGTTTTGCGGTGTCTTTTTAGTGGCCTTTTTTGCGAAGGCATGACAACGTTTTCTGAGGGTTTTATGTTTGGTATGTTTTATTTGCTTTACTCATTGATTGATGCCAAATATTTTTCACAACCCCATTTTTATCTTTTCGAGTTTTCCAAAGGATTAACAAATTTTGTTTTAGTCATGAACCAATGCATTTGGTTAGCAACTGTGATGATGGCTTGGTGAAGCAGGAGCAAATTGAATTTGGCTATTCAACGCTCCGTCTTGCACCGTTGCAATATACATTTACTGGCTCAGAAATGTACGGTATAGATGAAACAGCAGCACAACAACACATGTATACCGACTCCGCAGCCCTTCCTGATTTATATTTCTCGGAAGACATAATTTCATCGCAGTCGGTTAGCCAGAATGCAAAAGAAAGGGAAGTAGAGGAATTTGCAACAGATAAATCAAAACGAGATTCTGGATTTGGTTGTTTAGCAGTTTCTGGTGATACAGTTGTTCCTCCAGTTTCAGAACCTCTCTCAGATAACGAAGAAGTTTGTTCATGTACCGATGATGGCGAGACTGAAGAAGGCAGAGATTCTGGAAATGACGCGTTATCTTCAATGACTTCTCTACACCATCGAAAGCGTAAAACGTCCGCACTTCGCTTACCGTCTTCATGCAATATAAAAAAATGTTGTGTTGAAGATCGTCAGTTGACAGGCCTAATTTCGGTATTTAACTCAGGCCTCAGCGTCGTCGCTGATCAGTTCCTCACACGACCGAATGTTTCCAGTGTTTCTTCGCTTCAGCAAACTCCGAAGCAGATTAATTCATTTATACATATTACCTGTAATCCATTGATCTGTTAGTTGCATTTCAATTTGATTTAATTTTTTTTTTTTGTTTACACTTTCAGATTGTTGTCTGTTCAAGCCATGATTTATCTAATTTTTTCGCACAATCCAAATCTGTTTGACCTGATTTTGCTGAAACAACAAGGTTGATACTAAATTCTTAACAGCTAAGAATTTTTGGCTAATGGTACATGCTGTCGAATAACAAGTTTGTGTGTCCAAAAATTATGAAGTCAGCTGTAGAACTTTCAGGAATGGTTCTTTCATAACGATCATGTGTTTCATAGAATGTTGTAGTGTAGACGATAATTATATTGCTTAACTTCACATTCCTTTTTATATCAGAAATAATGAGGTGATAGGTCATGGCTTTGAGTCCCACACTGTTATTCTGGATATCTTGAGAAAACTGCCCGTTGATCAGTTTCTTATCTGCTTCAGTACGTTGTTTTTATGGTTGGCAAAACATTGCCTTATTATCAGCACACATTTAATGCCATTATTTCAAGTTCTTTACAAAAAACCTCATACAACAATGCAAGTTCATTTGATAATGATTTTTGTGGAATTCTACTTCATGCTAATATCGTTTACGAGTCCGATGAAATTCACTTTCTTAATTAAATCAAATGACGAAAGCAGATATTTTTGAGTGAAATGTCATATCTCAGAAGTTATGGAATTTTTTGTCGAAATTTCTTGTACTGTTTCACCTGATGTAGGATTCTTTCTCAGTAAGGCAGTGATTCACGAGACCTCGTACTAATAAATTTTTTGTTGCCTGCACCATTGTGTGAAAAGAAGTCCGCTAGTCAAACAAGCCAAATTTAAAAGTGATCCAAAGCCGTCTTGTGCATCCTTTTGTTCACAAAAACGAAGTACACTGTTGTTAATTTCCAAATTTTCATTACTTTTCGAAACAACACAACGCGATTTGGATCAAACGCATGTTTGGTGACGTATCTGATTTTCAGAATATATATTTGGTGCTTCAGGACGTCATTTGAGCCTTGTATCTTCCCTCTTTAATATAGTAACTTGTTTAATAAAATTATATCAGGAATATTTTTCTTTTGTTTTTCTGGAATGGCTACCCCGTACTTTCAGTTTGATGAGATGAGATTTGTGGCATTGGATTCACGTGGACATTTCATTTAAGAAATATTTTAAAAGTTCAAAGAGGCTTGAGACGTTCGTTCTTTTCTGGTGTCAAGTTTACTATTTTGTGTTTTAGAAATTGTGATTTGCTTTGAAGTGTGTTATTTTATATATTTCTCCTAATTTGCATCTTTTTCTTGGAAAATATGAGAAAGGAGGCACAGAGGGAAGTGCTGTAAGAATCTTTTCTATCAGAAATTAATATTCGGATATTCAAGTTAATTTGTCTTTGTGCATTCAATTTTAGGGAGTGGTTAATGTGTGTATTTGTGTGTGTGTTGCTGTGTCAAAGGCTGTAACTGTGACAGTTTAATTCTTTCCTTCCCTATAATCTCTAGCTACATTAGTTCATTTTAAGATTTTTTTCCTCCTTGAATTTTGTGAATGTTTTTATGTTTGATAATAATGAGATTTAAACGGTAATATTTTTTTTTTCTTCCTTCCTAGTCCAGAAAGCTGTTTTCGCAGTAATGTTTGTTCCATTATCTTGTCTTAATAAATTTCTTTTTGTACATTTTACCATTTTTCAGCTATAAAATACGAATAGTGGCATCTTGTCATTTCAGTATCAGTAATGCTGTTTACTGCGTTACCCATGTAATATTACTTTTTGAACAATCCCATATCGTACTATGTTTTCCAGAAATTTCATTTCTGGAAACCATAATTCAATGTGGGATTGCATTAAACAGTGTATGATTGTCCTGATTTATATCCTCGATTTTTTTTCTAAATTAAACTATGTGTTAACGATTTGTTACATTGCAACAATATGACGCTGTATGCTTATTTCTTAAATATGTTCTCCATTTTGAGATGATGAGGATACATTTGAAACAATGGCAGTGTTAAAAAAAGAAGACTAACTTTTATTTTTTCGTGCAGCGGATCCACTTGAATTGAACAAGGACCAAACTTCTTATTGGAATTTAATCTGAACTGGAAGTGCGTATTTGCGAGTTCAATTTAATAGGTGTTTATAGGAATATCGATATCAAAAATCTGGCATATCATAATTAATTACAAATAATAAGTACACATTTCATCCAACAGTGTTAGGAAATATTGATTGAAAAATGCCAATAAAGGATGACAAAGAAATACACGTTGTAAAGTGCTGAACTATTCATATACATAAATAATTGAGTATAATTCATTTTAAGTAGACTGCATGTTACTTAAACAGTTTCCAGTAATTTGAGAAGATACAGCTTTGCAAGAGATGATACAGCACGAAAATGTGCAAATGCATATTAACAAAAATTTTGCATACTTCCATAGGAAATTATGCGAATATCATTTTGGAGCTGCAAATTTACAGCAAAAAAAGCATTGTATCACAAAAATGCAAAACTGTTAAGAAACAATGGCAATGATGACAAAAAAAAAAGGTACGTGCATAATGATAGGAATACCTGAAGAAGAGACGAAAGAGCAAAGACACAGGAAACTTCACATCTAAATGAGATTTTCAAAGAAGCGAAATTTATTTCTTTCAAAAGATGCAAAGTGAATTCCCTTTGAAAAAAAGACAAAATTGTCTTAATGTGTCTCCTAACTTAAAATTTCACTAGTAAAAGTCAGGACCCGAGAATGAAGCACCTAATTGATTCCTAATTAAAAATTATTCACTTGTTTTTGTTTTAGTATTACCATTTTTATAGCTTAAACAAGTGAAATTAAGCCTAACAGATGAGAAGATAGTGAAAATGAGACAATTACTGTGGATATGAAATGTATGACAGACAAATAGCAATATATAAAGCGCTGGGTGATACTTTTTATGTACAATATGAATTATTAATTATTCTAAAATAGGATGCATTTATTATTGATTGGGGCAAATTAAAAATTGAACATAATTTAAAATAAAAGTCAAAAATGTGTTTCTCCTTTATGCAAAAAAAAAAAAATCGAGAGATCCAAATTTTTTATAAGTTTAATGTTTGAATATTTAAAATTCAGATTATTCCACAGATTATATTTTTAGAAATTTGGAAAAAAACCATTCCCTCATTTTATCAAAGACTTGAAATTTTCATCCAAAAATCGATTTATCAAGATTTCAAACCTAGAAAAAAAAAAGGTGTGGAAATATATTATCAAGTGATGAACATTCAGGAAATTGTTTTACTATGAAATTGAGAGAAATGTAAAAATTTACATTAAATTTTCGTCATGAGCATGTAATTTCCAGCTTGCTTCATTTGCATTTGGCATTAAAAACACTGAAAGAAGTCAATATCAGTCTTGACAATAATTTTTTTTTTTATTTTTTAAAAAAATCATGTCTAATGCAAAAACTTGTACGATGCAATGTTTGGCTAGAAATTTTGATATATTCTTTTAGGTAATTTTCACGTTCACTTCAAAAAGGATTAATAATGTGTTATGGAATTTTTAAAGCTTAGTTGAAACTACAAAAAAACGGAAGATTTTATTTATTAAAATAAAATTTTTT